AGGGAAAGAAGACCACTACATATATATAGTAATATTCTTGTTACTTGTACAATTTAATACTATTTGTCTTATTCAGGTAAATAGTAACTGCTTAATATATTAGGTTCAGTTATTTTTTCCTTTCATTCTAGAAGTATTCTAAGGAAAAACTGTTTTACTATCCTGGGCTATGGAGAGAAAGCAAGGCTACCTTTGAAATAGGATTACTTTTTGGATTGGGTAGAAAAACTGGTTCTTTTTCTATCATATCTTAGCTAATAGCTTTTGTGAAAAGACGTGTACTTTTATTTATAGGACTGATTTCTTTCAGTTACATTTCAAAAATGAGTAATATTTTTTTCTATGTAGGTGATTTTGTCACTGAGTTTTTTAAAATTTGCCGTCGAAAGGAGTCAACTGATGAGATTCTTGGACGATCCACATTTGAGGAAGAAGGAAGAGGTGGCACCTTTCTCTTTTTTTAAGTTATTTTCAAATGTTCCAGTAACTTTTCATCTATTTTTCCAGTTTGAGTTATGTTGGGGAAGCAAGTTTTGATGAACTAGGCAGCTACCATTTTCTCCAGGCTATATATACCCTGAGCTTAAAACATTGTGTGATTAATAAGTTCTTTCCACCAAAAATGTAAGATATTTTGAAAAGAGGTTTATTTTTGAAGTTCCCTGGGCAGAAATTATGTTACACCTTTGTCAATCATGCATCCATATAAAGCTGAACATGTGTATTAGTAAAAAATCACTAATGAAAAGAGTGACTAAAATATTCTCTACAGTCATCAGTTTATTCATCACTTTAACCTGCCAAGGTTGGTGATGTAATATGTATTCATTTCTATTCTTTTTATAGAAGTTGCTGATATAACTCATGCTTTGTCAAAGTTGACAGAGCCTGCGCCGGTTCCAATTCATAAATTATCAGTTTCAAATATGGTACACACTGCAAAGAAGAAAATACGAAAACAGAGAGGTGTAGAAGAATCACCACTGAATAATGATGTCCTCAATACAATTCTCTTGGTAAACTAAATGTAATGTTTTTATATGTCTATATGCACACTCATTTATTCATTATCTATTCAGTCCCATCTATGTGGCAGGCACTGGATTGGGAATATAAAATGAGTAAAACATCGTCTCCACAATGAGTTCCCACTAGTGTAATGGGAAGAAGGAAAGTAAATAGTAGTTACAGTACCATGTTACATGTGAGAATTCTGGCAAAGGGGCTGTGAGAACACAGCAGAGGGTGCATCTGTCTCTGTCTGAGCAGTGGGGATCAGGGAAAGCTTCATAAAGAGGGACAGAAGGTTTAGAAGCAGAGGAATAGCAGAAGCCTGAGAGAGCATGTTGGACAGTTTGGTGCATGGCAGGGTACTTCCCAGAGGGTGGCCAGGGACGAGGAGAGTAGGAGGTAACCTGCCATGTTGAAGCACTGGGCTTCATCTTAACAGTTTAATGCCATTTTAAGCAGAAGGTTGACATGATCAGAATGGTATTCTTGAAAACTTTCTTTCACAACAGTCCAGAGAAAACTTCATACCGAGTACTAGAAGGGGCTAGGGTGTCCCCTAGGTATAGGGTGGTGGAACAGGCCTGGCCTAGGAGCCATACACAGGGTTTAATCCTGACTTATGGTATGACTTTGAACAAGCCATTTAACTTCAGTTTCTTCAACTGAAATGAGTCTAATGAAAACCTGTGAGATTGTTGTGCGTACTAAAGGACCTTCTGTTACACTGGCATAAAATAGGCCTTTGCTAGATGATAGCTACTCTTACTATAATTGTAGTTATAATCGTACTTCTGGCAATTTGTGCACTAAGACGTTCTTGGGAAAAACCTTCAAGAGTAGTGCAATGAAAAGAATATAGGACTTGAAAACTTGATGTTAGTCTTATCCCTGCTGTTTACCTGAGCAAGACTTTTAGCCACATTTTTAGTTTGTATATTTGTAAGATGTGGGCACTGATACGTAGCTCACGTAGTGGTAGGAGAATAGGATACTGTTTGTAAATGTGCTTAGTAGTGGAGGTTGGCACTTGGTAGTTCCTCTCATTTAAAAAAGTCTGTTTAGGGCTTCCCTGGTGGCACAGTGGTTGAGAGTCCGCCTGCCGATGCAGGGGACACGGGTTCGTGCCCTGGTTTGGGAGGATCCCACATGCCGCGGAGCGGCTGGGCCCGTGAGCCATGGCTGCTGAGCCTGCGCGTCCGGAGCCTGTGCTCCGCAATGGGAGAGGCCATACAGTGAGAGGCCCGCGTACCGCAAAAAAATAAATTAATTAATTAAAATAAAATAAAATTAAAAAAAAAGCTATTAAAAAAGTCTGTTTAGCATGTTCTGTAATATGTGGCAAAGTATGCGTAGTAAAAGGAATTACAAATCAGCAGTACCACAAAGCACTTGGGAGGAATAGTGTTAAAAGGATTGAAAGTAAATTTCTGTAGAGAAGGCCCCTTCTTGAGAATGTATCCTTAGAGATTTTATTCCAATTATATAGCTTTTTACCACTTCTCCACACCCTCTCTCACACACAGACACAGACACACAGACACACACACACACTCCCTCACACATGTTAACAGAAATCACTTGGAAAGGATACACTGGGCATTACAGGTTTAGTCTGCTTCCCACTTTCTGTGGGTATCTCGTAAGATAAAATTACGGGTCTTTAATATCATACTTGTAGCATTTCATATATAAAAACCCATGGATGATTCTTCTCTATAGAGCCTCATGAATGTTTGGGTGTTTTAAAATTTTCTTTTATAATTTTGTCTTTTTAATAATAACATTAAAAAAAATTTAATGACATTGGATGAGCCTGAAATCATAGTGAAGAGATTCTGGTTTTGCATTCTGTAAACTAAACAATTCACAGAAGCAGGTGGTTACACATTCAAGAAAAATCTGATTTTAAAATTGACTAGTCACTGAAACAGTGTATTTTTGAAGAAAAATAGAAAATGTTTGAGATATTGTAGAACTAAATGGGCAGTACAGTAAGAGCATTCTCATCATTTTAAAAACAAAACCATTCAAAAGTCAGTGTTTATATGAGTTACAAAAGTCAACAAAATGAGAAATTTCGTTGAAGATGTGATTATTTTCTTTCTTCCTCCCTCCTAAGTTCTTATTCCCTGATGCTGCTTCTGAGAAACCGTTAGATGGGACTTCTTCAATAGACAACAGTAATCCTCCATTAGAGAGTGAAGAATATGTAAGTTAATTAATATTAAAATATTTTATTTTTTATTAATAAATTCTAAAAAATATTTGTTTTATTTATTAATTTTTGGCTGCATTGGGTCTTAGTTGCTGCGTGCAGCCTTTCTCTAGTTGTGGCCAGCGGGGACTACTTTTCATTGCAGTGTGCGGGCTTCTCATTGGGATGGCTTGTCTTGTTACAGAGCACAGGCTCTAGGTGTGTGGGCTTCAGTAGTTGTGGCACGTGGGCTCAGTAGTTGTGGCTCACGGTCTCTAGAGCACAGGCCCAGTAGCTGTGGCTCATGGGCTTAGTTGCTCTGCAGCACATGGGATCTTCCCAGATTAGGGCTTGAACCTCTGTCCCCTGTATTGGCAGGCAGATTCTTAACCACTGCACCACCAGGGGAGCCGTAACTATTTTAAATGCATTGAATTTCTAGGGGTTTTACTATATTTCTAGCAACAGTCATGAAATCTAGTTCACAACAGTGACTACTGTAAACAGTTTTATAGCTCTACATCTGTCATTTAAGCTTTCTTTTCTCAATTTATCAAAGACTTGGATGAGGAAAACGTGAAAATTTTCTAGCACTCGCTATAAAGCTTTCTCTGTTTTGAAATAAGGATCTTTTTATTTTAAAAATCACCTTAGGGGGCTTCCCTGGTGGCGCAGTGCTTGAGAGTCCGCCTGCCGTTGCAGGAGACGCGGGTTCGTGCCCCGTTTCGGGAGGATCCCGCATGCCGCGGAGCGGCTGGGCCCGTGAGCCGTGGCCGCTGGGCCTGCGCGTCCGGAGCCTGTGCTCCGCAAATGGGAGAGGCCACAACAGTGAGAGGCCCGCATAAC